CTAAACCAGGGCTAGAACAAAACCAAAACAAATCTGCACCAGGACTAAACTGAGCTCAAATCAGGAAATATGAATGCACCAAGGCCCGTTGTAAGAATAAATGGTTCAAGTATAGTTGAGACAAGCTGACCAAGAAAACTGATCAGTGTTGAGGAAGGACAAATTCTGTCACACTATGATGGCATTGACCTCAAAGAAATGTTGGGAGTGAGAGAGGTGGTGGTGTCCTTGGAACAATACAGGAGATGAAAAATTTATTGTAATGTAACATACACTAAAGGTTTGTTCAACTACTGAAGTATTATACTCTTATAAACAGTTGTTCTCCATCTCTAGATCTTGATTAAAGATTAAATTAATCTGGTTATGTAAATCCAGTGTGATACTGAATACACTGGCTGTGGTTACATGTGTACTCAAAATCTGATTAATGTCAGATTTTTGGAGTTTTACGATGATTAAAATAACATATAAACAGCAAAATTATCTGATTTCTCTCTGATCATGGTTCCTCTGATTACTCACATCAGAGTTTGTGGTTTGCCTGTCATTTAAATGAACTTTAAAGGTCTAGAAATCAGATAATAATTAGATTTTGGTGTACATGTAAACATAGCCACTGACATCAACACAATGTTTGAAGAGGAAAGTAAAGTACAAAGGGCTGTGTGCAGATTGCTTCCATTTGATTCTAGATGTGAGTGCGGGTAGTTCATGTTTATCAAAAAGCTTGAAGGTGCATTGTGTAACTTTTCTGGTGGAGAGTCCGTCACCTGCTTGTTTCAGTGGAGATGTCGGTACTCTGCCTGGAATGTTCCACAGTATGACATTAAACAGGTCTGCTGTACATTTATTTAATTACAGTGTTTTTATTGCTCAAAAATACCCAGAAAAACGCATTCTTACTAGCAGTGGCGTTGCCGCTCCACAGATCTGACTTGTAACTTGACTTGGTTTGGTCTTCATGAAGAGGGAAAGGTTTTAGTACCATACCATAAAACATTCCAGACTAAGTAATAACAATAATGTGTGCAAAATATATCTGCATTGTTTTCACACACAACATTATTAATTATGCATTTATCAATTGGTAAACAACACATGCTGAGACACTGATGTCACACTTGCCTTCGCCTGTCAAATACTCTATAAATACATTTAGACCTTTTTACATGTTAATAGTTCAGGAGTTCACTTTCTCCTGTTTGAATGGTAAAAGGTTCACAATGTTATGCTTTGAGTGAGTCGAGTTGTTTATTTCCGACGCTACACTTCCACTTTTTCAGATCCGGGCTGCTCTCCTGGGGCTGTGGTGCACTTCAGTGTCGAGTTTCCAGGGAGACTTCCATCTAGCGTGCGTGGAGCTGCCGTCTGGGGCCCTGTGCGGCAGCCTTTGAGAGGTGTGTGCGTATGTGTGTGTGTGAATGGGTTGTACAGTGAAATCAGAGGGGCATTTGCACCTCAGTATAACACCCATGTTCAGGCTTTTCACTCTAGCCACAATCCTGCTCCTGTGGGCTATACATAGGCCCACACTGACTCTACACCATCAGTGTGTATGCTTCTACAATCAAATATTAACCTAAAATTAATTAATATTAAGTGACTTCTTAATTATGCGGTATAAAGTTATATCATATGATAAATCAACGCAGCTGAAAATCCATCCCGAAGGGATTAGAAGTAAGGTTGTCATTTATCTTCATTTTCTGTGAGAAAAAAATAATGCGAGTTTACAATATTAACACATCACATTAATTAAACCACAAACAAATAAATAGGAAAAAAGTAAAATCCTTACTACAAATCTTGATTTCTTTGTGTAGTTTTAGTGTCATAATTTCATTTTCAAACTACAGAATTTTAATAATATGGTGACATCTATGATCACAATTAGCTGTTATATTAGTTTGTTATATAGTTCTTTGCCACCATTCTGTAATTACTTAAAGTTCAGTGATCACTAACTTACAATACTTTTACTTGTGTGTGTGTGTGACTTTATTTTCAAAGTGACTGTTGCTTTTGAGCCATTCTTCTGGTCTAGTCAGATTTTTTCTTCCGTAAGAGCATTTCAGACATACTTCAATGTTGAAAGAAGTGTCCTTTATGTAAATTGTGCCATGCCAGGCTGAACCCGAGCTTTTCAGTCATATGATGGCTTTGGCAAAGGACTGGATTATTCATGCCAGTTTTTTTTTTCCTGCACCTCAGTGAGCAGCTACACAGAGAAGTCGCTGGAGAGTGACAAAACTTGTTGGAGTTAACAGTCCACAAATAAATGTCCGCTCGCTCGGTACAGTGGCAGTGTGCAGACTGACATCTCCCAACGCACACATCATTTAACCTTGAATTGGATGGGCTGCAGCAGCACTCTCCTCTCCGGTCAGCAAAGAGCACCCGAATGGGCCTGTGAGAGCCATCAGTGGACAGTGAGTGAAGGAGGAATGCTGAAATGAAGAGTCATCTGAGATTTTTTTTTATATGACAACAAAGTGATTTTGTCATAAGCAAAGTGCATGTTTACTTCGTATAATTAGTTTGTAGTTTTTAGGGATAGTTTTAATCCAGTTGAATAATGAATTTATATTTTTTTTATTGATTACAAATTTTAATATTTTTTCTATACTTTCTATAAGTCATGTGCCAAGTCTGTCCCTTCATTCTGCATTGGACTGTCAGAGTATTTTAAGTGCATCTATTCCAGGCAATGTCATTATGTTAATACCTGAACTATAACTGAAATGGAATGGAGAAGTTTGGCATAAATCATTCTTTAAGGTCCCATATTACGCAAAATTGAACCTTGAGAGCTTTAAGCCATTTTAGAACATTGTTACCGCCTCAAAAACATACCTGGAGTTGTGTTTTGTTTCATTCACACATGTTTGAGTAATCCTTTATTAGTCTGTTTACATATCCAAAGCTCAAAATGTTCTGTTCCACCCTGTGATGTCATGAAGTGGTAGTTTTCAAGTTACCTTTTACCTTTACAACTCCAGATGTATTTTTGATGAGGAAACCACATTATAACATAGAACAGGAAATAGCATAATATGGACCGCTTAACTAGAATTCTGTATAAAAACAAGCTTGGGTTAGGTACATGGAGTATTCAGCTTTACAGTGAGCAAGGAAAGATACTTTACATGTGCACAAAGTAATATGGTAGTGACCTCAGCTTTCCCTTGGGGCTGGTGCTCTCGTCATATCAGGGCCAAACAGAGCACCTTTGGGAGACTGTGGACTGCATCACTATGGAGTCAGCCTGAACCCACCATGTCCTGGGAATATTTACAGGACCTATTGCACCACTGGTCTTCATGGCCTTTGCTTTCCTTCCTGCACACTGCATTTCAACCTAGAGACCTAAACTGAAGAAACACTGCAGTAATTAGGATTGTATTTTTCAATTAAAACATTAAATTATAATCATACTAATTTTCTTTTTTTAAGTACTAGATTTGTCAAAGGAAACGATCTGCCTCAAAGTGTGCTCTCGCTTGCTTTAATTTGGGAATAGGTTTACGCAGAATTCTCCTCTTGGTGTTTGGGACTGGCAGGATTAATTAATACTGAAAGAAGATGGGATTTTGTTGCGAAATTGTGATTAGTGACTAGTTAAAAGCAGGCGCAGTAGTAATAGCTGTAGCCTAGCATTAGTTGAAATTGCAGATGTAGTAATTGCATCAATAATGTCAGATTTCATTTTGTATTATTATTTTGTTCCATCTTTTAACCACTTGGCAGTATTGGTGTACCAAGTTGGATGATTAACCACCTATGCCTGTTATAAATGGATGACAAGGCAGAGTCAAGTGTGTTAAATTTACATACAATATTAACATTTCTATCATCACTCATCATTAGGCAATTTCCTGCATCTATAGCTCAAGATTGAAACACAGATGACTGCTGCCTGCAACATCTGAGTTATCGTGAGTAAGAAAATCTAAATTACACTAATCTTTTAAAAGTAATAGCGTTTGATTTTTATTTTTTATTTTTTTTGTGGAGAGATAGTGTCAAGCTCATATTTCACATTAATCACACAGTGTCAGGGGCATTGCTTAGACATCTGTCATGCATATGTAAGTATGCTGAGCCTTTTATCAGAATCAGTGCAACAAATTCCCCTCTGTGAAGTAAAAGTCGTGTGCATTAGAGTGTGCGCATGAGGCTCATTATATTGATCTGCTTTAGACACATGCTTTAACTTCCCCTAAATAACAATCAGAGTGGCCTGAACAAGGGCAGCTACAAGGACCCGGTCACAAAAATGATGGCTTCCTGTTCCAGTGCCTGTCTTAAAATTAATGACGATTTATGTTCACCAAAACACAGCTAGTAGAGGACGGAAGCACCTGTTTGAAATACTATAGCCTTCTAGTAAATATACTCCCATATGGGGACAAAGGGCTTAGGCTTAGCTATAAACAGAAAAAAGAAAATCTATAGATAGAACAACTAAATCAATTAACAGCATAACACAACAGTTCTTATAATTCCACCTAAGACCACATTTTTTTAATGTTACATACAAAAGTATATTATGTTCCATTATAATTGTTGTTTATGCAGTGTATAGAGGAGTTATTGTCTTTGGGTGCGTCACAAGCTTGGACAAACATTCCTTCAGGGAGGATATTCGATAATGACTAGCCATAAATGACTGTACAAACATTTAAGTTGCATTGAGAAGTTTTACAGTAGTCTATAACATGCTGTATTCATGACTGTTATATTAGGCTATATCATGGTTGTATAGGATCAAAGCACAGAAGCACAACTTTACTTCTATCTTTATAGGTTTAGCACTTAAGCGAAACTAATATTTCTTGAATGATTTGTACATAGACACTACTTTTCCTTTTCCATTATGCAAATGCATAGATCATATGCACGGGCCCGCCCCTGCCTCTACAGCGGACAGACACGAGGCACCTTAGTTTACAGCTCGACCTTAAACGTTGCTAATGGTCGCTTCCATCAGACCTGTGTCATATTCACACTGGATCTTGATTCTTGGGCTGCTGTCCGCCAGGTTTCCGCGCAGCACTTGTCTGTGATTGGCTGAAAGAGCGAGGTGCCAGTCTCCCTAGGAAACGGCTCCTTCACGCGGTTCAGTCCCGTCAGCGGAGCGCGCACACACGGCAGCCTGCGTGCGTACTGGAGCAAGGTGCGAGCGACTTACCGGAGGACTTTTCTGTGCCTGCGCTTGGAATCACCCGGAGCATGAGCTTGCCGTGTTTGCATCGCTGTGTGAATTGTGAGCATTTAAGGGGAAACCAAGACGGAGTTGGCTTTTAATGTCTTCGGATCTGTCGAGGAGCGATGCACACGTTTCTTTTCCTTTAAATTGTAACGTTTCAGGTGTTTGTTAAGCCACAAGACTGGAGATATTTCACCAAGCCATCATTTAACGCAGATTTTTGACTCTACTCGTTTCACATAGGACTACAGCCCCCGAGGTGAGGCTACAATCAGTTCGAGCATTATTTGTGAGAGCGGGACTTGCCTCTGACCGGAGTTTGAGTCTTCATCATGGGCTACGGCGCACGGACTGAAAGAGACTTGAGAGACGGAGGACGAGTGCTCAGACAAGGCGCCCAGATGCGGCGAACTGTGCCCTGGTTGTGTCTTTTCTTGCTGTTGGAAATCACTGCTGCTCAAGGTAAAAGACACATTTTATATTTTTGCCTTAAGATAAAAGTTGGATATCAACTAATTAAAAGTTGTAGAATAGCCTCGAAGCTTAGAGGTGCACTGAACAAAAAGAAACTCCCAATCTTAGATATTAAAATCGTAAGCGCTCGAAACTAGCTAAAATTACTGGTGGCTACTCAAGTTAATGAGGTCCTGCCAAGGTGCGTAATTTGGTTGTAATTGGCTATCCAATTGCTTTACGCGTAACGTGAAACTAATGATAAATGCCTCCCCAAACACGTTGTCGCCTTATTTAAATATTTACGTGTTAGTTCTCCGATTCTTCTCAAACAACTTACTCATAATATTTAAGTATAAATGATGATATCTTGCACGCTTGCGTGTAAACCTCATCTTACTGAAAAATTACATCCCGATTCTTTCACGTCGTCTAAAGAAAAAGCACGTGGACTTCAAAATTAACATAATTGAGAGAATTGAGAAAATCTCATAGTCAGTCTTTAGACTCCAGTATTAGGTTACACTATAGTGCAAAATTAGGAGCTAATTGGAGTATGCATTTCAAAACTCTATAACAGCATGCATTATGGAGGCCACAACCTCTGTGTATTATAAAAGAAAAAAACAAAAACATGTCTAATTCTTTTGCACATCTTTGTTGTGTTTCTAAATAAATGAGTAATTTACAGTCCTAGATAAGATAACTGCTATTCAGTCAAACACTAACTAATGAAAAATGAGGCTAAAGTCCTGAAAGCAATTTCATCTGTTTGCTCAAAATACATGCACACAAGTAAATAATTTTCAGACTTCCGTTGTTTGCCAAAGTGTAATTGTAACTTCCCCAAGTGAGAGAGCCATTTTGATGGCACAGTGCTATATTTCTCCAGCGTGCGGATGTATGCTGCTGCTGAATGATGCTTTGTGTAAACTGAAGGAGCTGTCAGTTCTGGAAAGCATTAAGATAATGCCACAACACCTGAAGCCATTTACTTAATCTGCTGCTCTCGGTGCTGAGTGGGATTCTCGGTCAACAAAGGGCTGCTTGGAAAAACCCATCTGTGGATAGTGTATGTTTAGTATGTGTTTGTACATGCATGTCACATGCCAAGTGTGTATACGTCTCTGGAAGGTACTGTAGGTGGTCTGACTACTGAGAGAGGTCTGAAGTCTGGCTTGGATAGCAGCTGGACCTCAAGACAGACAATTTTGGTTCCAGGATGAAAACAATGGTACTAATAATAATGATGCCTGCTAATAATGATCAGATATATTTCCATATTTACAAAGGTCGTAGTGAATAATTATATGGATCCTAGCAGATGCTATAACTATGTCTCATAAAGCTAATGTACCACAGTAATGTGCATATAGAGTATGGCTGACTGAATGGGTAGTATTTCTTTATTTTTATTTTAAGTAATAAATTATAAATAATGTAATAGTACCATAGCATAATATTCTGGTTCTCTTGTTTAATTTGTTTGGCACTTCTTTAATCCTAGTTTAGATGTAGCCATTAATTATATATTTTTCCACAGTTTTGGCCAGTAACTAAAACTCTTGTTAATGCTTGTTAATATTGGATAGTCTCAGTAATCAGTGCATTCAAGATTGTAGATTTGTTTTCATTTTGCTGTGTCATAAAAATGTTTTTAAAAAATCACTAATCACTAATATTGTACAAGCATAATCTATCTGGAATACTATTGATCCTATGCTAAGATGTAATTCCTATTCAGCAGCCTATGTTCCTCTATAAATTTGACACTGCTTTTCGACCACATCTCCCAGGCAGGGCAGAGGGTGCATGAGTGAGTAACCTTATCTAGCTTTTGCAGCCCTTCCATCTTTCTCGCTCCTACATAGTTAATGAGGAAGAGGGAGCAGAGGAGGAAGAGCAGAGCAGAGGAGTGGAGAGAGGTCCGGTTTCTGAGGGGCCAGGGTGCCATGACATAATAGCCAACCTAGGACCCCCCCCAGAGAGCCTTGTGTCATTGACGAGATAGGAACACGAAACACGGCCCTTCTATGTCCATTAAGGAGTCAATGCAGCAGCAGAACATTGTTGGAGGCTAATTAATGGGCTCTATTTTGGTGGCACTGGAAACTCATTGGTTGTGAAACTACTCATGATTCAAGTAACTCATATTGCTTCATAGTCCTAGTTTGTTCTTAAGACAACATTAGTCTTCCATCGCCATCCTATTTCAGATTATGTTTTTTAAAGGTGCACTGTAAAACCTTTCTTATGAAGGGTTCACCATCTGCTCATCTCCAGGGTGATGTTATTGCTTTGTCTGGGATATTCCACTGTGTAGCATTAAAGAAATATATATTGTATTTATAAATTTTTGGGTGTTTTTATTTCTCAAAACTACTGCAAAAACATTAATAAGGTTAGAGGGCCCACTTCTGCACGGATCTGACCTTTAACTTGGCCTGATGATGTCGCCTGCTTGTCTTCATTGAGATAGTTAAATCAAATGACTTACTAGAGAACATTTCAGGGGAAAAAAACAAAAAACAAAAAAAACATCCACATAGTCTCAAGTAGGTTTCGGACCCTCCACCAGAAAAGTGGACACAGTGCACCTATTAGTTTTGTGTGCAGCCAAATGGCAAGATTTGAACATGTTGTATAATTAAATGTTACTAAACTTGTGAAATGTTGAAAGATTGGCAACATGCATTAGCAGATTTCACATTTGCACATTTTATATTTACTATATTATTTACGAAGACTTGTTAATTCATCTTGGTCTGATATTATTCTTTATACCCTAAGACATTTGTATATTTTTTTCTATCTTCAAAACCCCAAAATCATAACTGAGCCAGAAAACACAAGTCTGGCTCCAACCACTATACTTTTTGTTTCTTTTTTAATGAATGCAAATCTATGCTTATTTTGGCAGACAATATCTATTTAGCATATTAAAACTTGCAATGCGTTTTCTCATGCTGATGTCAATAATGTGCCTGAGAAGTTTCACAATATCTGTTACTTACAAATGTCATCCTATATACCTACCTTTAGCAGTGTAGTATTGTGTCTCTCCTCTAAGGGGAAGATGCTGTAGAAATCAGAGCGCTCATTAACCCACTGAACCCACGACAAAGGCAGACAGGTTGAGGCAGATAGGAGCTTAGGAGCTGCCAGGGAGGAAGGCGAGACTTCTGTGACAGTAGCTGGTTGGGATCTGCTCCTGGTATGTCAGTTGGGCTGTGGGGCGCGTCAGGCATCTGCATTGTCTGCCAGCGTTTTGTGTGGTTTTCACAAAGCTCACGAGAAGCGGGGGGATACAAGGAGTCTACCCGAGAGCCGATTGATGTCTCAGGCCTGGAAATTGTCTGTCGAAGCTTTCAAATGCTGAAGTTGTAGAAGGAGTATATAGAAGGAGCCACGGTGTAATGATGATTTCTGGTGAAGATAAGGGGCAGAAAAGTCTGGGGTATAAAAAAATGTTGTCTGTTCAATCATATTCATATTTTTTTTGCAGTTTTCAAATATTAGAATGTGATGATATCATACATGCATATGGTGGCCAGTTTTCCCTATTGTATCCGACATTGTACTGTCATAACAAAAATTTAAAAGGTACTTCACAAATACTGATAATCCAGATATATTACAACAACTTCAAATTACAACACAATTCTGTCATCATTAATTTTAGCTGCCCCCTATACTAAACATTATTGGCTTAACCGGCAATATAGGATACATAGGATAAAATGCTAAATGTTATAAATATATTTTTTTAAACATGGATGTAAATTGTGAGAAGAAATGAAAACTGATTGCAATAAGATGGTAATTTGAAATGCACTGTGAAAATAAGTGAAAAATAATGTAGTTATGTTGATTTATAGCCTACAGTGTAAGAGTTAATACAAATGTTGTCTTTTGGGTCCTCATCAGCTGACAGAAATGTTAGTACTGAGAGGCAGACATGAAGTGCTGTGATTTGCTGTCTGACCCAGGCTGAGCAGTGATTCTTGGAAGTAAGCTACAGTTTCGATATTGATTTCACATTTGAGTTTGGCTCCGGTGGGGGAGCTGCTAAAAAGGAAGGAGAGACTTGAGGAAAATCTGGACTATTAAATCATCTTTAAGCTCCAATATTCAAACGTACTGTGAGCACAATTTATGAGCGCATAAAGAAAACGTTTGGACATTTTACTTTGAAGGGCTATGATTTATGCTTATGTTATTTGGATGTATTTTGTGTCAGACAGTTGTGAACCTCAAAGCAAAATGGTTAGTAACATTGTATGGTGACTTTTTGAACTTTTAAGAGTAATATTTTTTGTCTAGGCCTAGGTTATTTATTTAGACATTTGTCATTTCATGCATTAATTTCTGAGTTACTGTTTGATTATTCATTCATGCAAAGCTGATTCACAAAATAAAAAAATAAATAAATAAAATGCAGTTTTTTGTCTGCACCATGAAGCCTACATTCAAAGATACATACAAGAACACTGTACTACATTATAGAGTACTTTGAGTCATAAGTAATACTACAGAAAAATACTTGAACTTAGAGCGACACCAGGTAACTTTCCAAAGTTGGCACATCACCGCATTATTCTATGGAAATAGAAAGTTAAAACCATACTTGGGAATATTCTCCAACTTTAAGTGTATGCAGCGTTATTACCCACCTCTGCTTTTAAGTGTAGTATCCTATTTGGGAATCAGTTAAATTTTTCCACATTGCTACCCCTATATCCTCCATATTTCTTCCCCTCCAGTTGATGCGTCCTCTGAGAATCGTTTATGGGGGAAACGTTACAGGATCTTGACTATAAATGGCTTTTAAAATATTGTGAGTCAGTGCGCAGTATAACTTCTTCCCCCTTATTTTTAAACTGACATGAACCCGCGGACCATTACGTACATAGGTAAAAGTGAATGTTATTCCTATCATTATTATTCTAAAAGTCCTCCCCCTGGCCTGACAACTGACTCCGTGGGGAACGCTAACATTACAACCGCCG